TCTTTACCTTGATTGCAGTCTTCATCCATCAAAACTTTACTAGCGAGACACTGGTTATCCAGTTGAGAAACCGTAGTTTGAGTCTCATCTGGCCATACAGCGGTGGGATGTGTTGACAATCCGTTCAGTCTGTACTTCACACACAGCGCGACGTGTGAGGACTCGTGCTCTTCAGAGACAATCACAGAATATGACAGAGCTCATGTTTAAAAGCGAAACACACTGGAATTAATAATTCACTGAAAACGCAACGAGAGTCTCTATTCTCTCTGCAATCTCTGATGTAATCAGCCTGGTTTCCTTTATATTAACGCTGTTTCGGACGGATTGTTTGAATGCATTCGCTTACTGGATCATTGGACTGAAAACTTTCCCGGAGTTTAGCAGCCCCTGCTCCTGGAGAGCTACCATCCTGCAGATTTCAGTTCTAACCATGCTCCAACACACCTGTCTGAAATTAACAAGTAGCCTTGAACACCTTGATTACCTGGTTCAGGTGTGTTTGATTGGGGTTGGAGCTGAAATCTTTAGGACCGTAGCTCTCCAGGAGCAGGGTTGGAGAACTCTGGGTTAAGGCAATTAGTATAGTGGTCTGTTGGCATCTCTGTCTGGTCCTGTTGGTATTGCAGCTTGACTTGTAGTTATAGAAAATACTCTAAACCAGTGGTTCCCAATCCTGGTCCTGGAGAACCCCCAACACTGCATGTTTTTGGTGTCTCTTATCTGACACTCACATTTGAGGTCTTGGAGTCTTCACTAATGAGCTGATGAGTTGAATCAGGTGTGTTTAAATAGGGAGACATCTAAAATGTGCAGTGTTGGGGGTTCTCCAGGACCAGGATTGGGAACCTTCATGCGTTTTCGCTGATCGGATATCTATCTGATTTGTTATATGACACTCTGAATAATGTTAAATTAAGTTAAGCACTGAAATTTCATAAAATTATTATCCACTAATTACAACATTTGTATATGAATTTAAACAGAAATATTTGCAGTGGATGTGCTGCTTTCTTGGAACTGTAACGACAGACATAAGGATGCACTTGTTGATCAAACAGTCCATTGATGACAGTAGAACTGTTCACAGGTGTCGCACACAGACAGCAGCCTAATGATAACCCCTTTCGTGCTCTTCCCAATATTGTGACAAACACCATATTTAAAAGATAGAATTTGAAGAAAACTGTAAGATATGCACGTTTTATTTTCAAAATGTTTTGTTATTGACGCGGGAAATATGCATGGAAATGATATGCAGATTACGTCATGCATATTAAAACTAGGTGTTGTAAGCTCCATATATGGCTATTTCGGGGAGGAGACGGGGTGGAGATTCATGTACGCACAATCTTCCGCTGACTGGGTATTACAAAGGGAATTTTGCGCAGGTTTTGGAGTACGCATGGCTTTATAAATCTGAAAACTTTTGTACGTACGCAAAATCTAGTTTTTGTGCGTACGCGCACATTTAGGATGAAATCTACGTAAAGTTTTATACATGAGGCCCCTGGCCTTTTCACGATCGGATAGCTATCCGATCAGACAAAACGCATGACGTGACCAGGTGTAAATGACCCCATAGGGAGACACAAAATGTGCAGTGCTGGGGTACTTCATGGACCGGTCTGAAAACCACTGCTCTAACCAAATGTGACATTTATTGTTTTCCTCACAGTTTTTGCTGTTGCACTGTATACGTTGTGAATTATGAAAAAATACAAAAAATATTTTAAAGCTTGAAAAAAGCTTGCAGAAAATATAGATTTTGTGGGAATCATCCTCAGTCTTGAACTTGGTAAATCATTCCGGGATGTATTCTAACATTTTTTTAATGTGGCGCCCTAGAAAATTTTCCGCCACTGACTAGAGATAACTGCTGAGTAATGAGGCTGATATCAACAGGTTGTTATTTATTAGTGTTTATCTGTGATGTGTTTGTCAGGATGTGGAGAAGGTGCGTGTGACTAATGGGACAGAAGCTCAGGATCATGAATCCACTGATCAAACCTCTGACTGTAACGCTGGAGAACAGCAGATGCTGCAGACGCCGCTGAAGATGTGCTCTGTCAAACTGGTGGACTGCAGGAACCTGATAGAGAGCAGAGCAGAAGAAACCACCGCAGAGAAAGAACAGAGTAATGAGGAAGAGCAGGATGATTATTGGATTGATGATGATAAAGATGATGAGAATGATGGTAATGATGGGACAGAAGCTCAGGATTCAGTCTGGAGCGTCAGAGATCAGAGATCCAGAGACACACAGGACTCAGAGCTCAGCCTCACTTTACTCTGTTATACTGACGCTCAGGATCATGAATCCACTGATCAAACCTCTGACTGTAACGCTGGAGAACAGCAGATGCTGCAGACGCCGCTGAAGATGTGCTCCGTCAAACTGGTGGACTGCAGGAACCTGATAGAGAGCCGAGGAGAAGAAACCACCGCAGAGAAAGAACAACAACACAGTGATGAGGAAGAGGATGATGATGATGATGATGATGAAGATCAGAGTGATGTTGATGAAGATCAGAGTGATGATGATGATCGGAATAAGGATGATGAAGATCGGAATAAGGATGATGAAGATCAGAGTGATGATGATGATGATCGGAATAAGGATGATGAAGATCAGAATAAGGATGATGAAGATCAGAGTGATGATGATGATCGGAATAAGGATGATGAAGATCGGAATAAGGATGATGAAGATCAGAATGATGATGTTGATGATGATGACTTCGTTCCTTCAGGTATGTTTCTTCCTGTTGTTTCCATTAAAAGCAAATGTGATGATTGATGAGTGACAGGTTTTTAGCTGTATATGCCAAAGTGACATAATTATAAGCAGTATGTACAGTAAAGCGTGTGAGAGATTGACTCGGCTCTCAAAACATGGATTACATTTGTTGTAGGAGATGACTTGAAGGCTCTTTGTAAATAACTGTAACTCTGAAATCAGAAAACAGCACAATGACTGAATTGAAATTGAATATGAGACTACGACTCCTGTCCATCATGTGCGTACCAGGACAGCTGCTGAAAGAGGTTTGAATAAACGATTAATTGAAGGTATTACGTGAATATCTTGAAAACCATAAATTTTGCCGCCGAGAGGCTGAGTAGAGGAAACTAACTTGTCCGACGCGCTTGTTGATAATGATCATGGATCCAAAGACTGCGGTTTGTAGATTTTGTAGATTTATTTGCATGAGAAACAAACAAGGTTGTGCATCCAATACATTCCATAATTGTTTCACTGGCATATGAAATGGTGTCCAAAAGTCATGATAAACGGCATTAAACAGCGTTAGCTTTTAGCGGTCAGCAAAAATAAGACTTCCCCCATCACCCCCTCTCTACCCAACACACAGGTGAACAGATTATATATTCTTACTACTTCCACCACCACCAGGTGCCACAGTTAACTCAAAAAATGTGTTCAAAATAAAAGAACAATACCTGGCTCTTACAGAAGGTTTTGGTGAGCTTTTGGGCTGGAAATTGTCGACCCAATCTGGCAACACTGAAAATATCACAGTGTCGCATATCAGACTTTGTAAATATTTAAAGGGTTAGTTCACCCAAAAATGAAAATTAGCCCATAAATTACTCGCCCTCAAGTCATCCTAGATGTATATGACTTTCTTCTTTCAGACGAATCCAGTCGGAGTTATATTAAAAATTGTCTTTGATCTTTCAAGCTGTTTAATGGCACTCAGCGGGTGTTGCATGCATCAGTCCAAAAGAAGTGAAATAAAAAGCGACCATCCATAATAAAAAGTCTCACACAGCTCCGGGGGGAGAACAAAGGCATCCTGTAGCGAATCGATATGTTTTTGTACGAAAAATATCCATATTCAAAACATAATAATCACTTTAATCTAGCTTGCGCCAACAGTTGTACACGGAAGCAGCTCCGGGCGGATGACGTATGAGTTCAGCGCTGTGCCAGTGTTAATTTTGAGAGGCATTTTTGATTTAGTCTTAGTCTTTATCTT